GACCCTTTCACAGGGGTCGCCTAAGACCATTGGAAAACATATTTCCGATGGTCTTAGGAACCGAGACACACACACGGCTCCTCTATCCGTCTCCGGCCCACCCACATGCAGATAACGCCCACAGATGAGTACCCAGCGTGAAGACTGTTACCCATACTACACCATGCTTCAAGACAACATTTCATTTCTTTGTCATTAGAAAGAAATATTTCACCATATATAATTACATATTGTTTTGTGATGAATCACTATGCTTTAATGATGTTCAATTTGTAACAATGAAAATAATCCTGCATATCCGGTATTTATATGACGATTCATAACAGCAGCAAAATGACCATGATGAAGTAGCAACGAAACTAATGTTATGGTTGGGGGTCCCCACAGCATGAGAAACTGTATGAAAGGGTCACGGCGTGAGGAAGGCTGAGGACCACTGTCCTATACAGTTGCTGTGAGTCAACATTGACTCGATGGTAGTGAGTTCGGAGTTTGGTTTTAATGTGATGGCTGCCACTATGGTGTAGTGGTATGAATTGGGCTGATAAACCCCAAGGCCTGTAGTTCAAAACCATCAGCCGCTCCTCTGGAGAAAATTGAAGCTTTCTACTCCAGTAAAGAGTTATAGTCTCATAAGTCCATAAGGGCAGTTCTACCCTATAGGGTCCCTATGCATCAGTACCAACCCAAGGACAGTGCGTGGTTAATATGATGGCTAGAACGGCTTCTCTGTGGTGAGCTGTGTGATGGCAGCTGTGTTGATGGTTTCACGGCCTGTGGGCTGGACTTCTCCACCCCTGATTGAAAGGCTCGGCGTCTAGCAAGGACAGAGCCTTACTCGGTCCTGTAGGGTCACTCTGAGTCGGGATTGATTGATGGTGAGGACCAAGTATAAACTGTTTATGCCAAATTGGAACTATCATATGACTTTTGCACTTTTGGTTAGATTTGAAACGATAAGTAATCATTTAAGATGACTTATTCAACTTGGATGGCTTTCCAAGCCGTTGGTCACACCGAATGTTCTTTTCTTCCCTAGAAGTTCCCTTAAATTGGAGTTGAATACCCATGCTAACGCAGGCAGTCTGCCTTCCCGGGGATAATTAGGGCTCAATGGCTATTTATATAAACCTACATGAAACCAGGACAAACATGCTGTAGTCAATAGAAGCTTGGGGTGGGGAGGAGGGGGAAATTGGCTGGTGCTTTATCTTGAAAATGTAACCCTAATTTACAAAAGTACAGTTCGACTATTTCACAAAGCCTAAGTTGTAATTGCAGTTGTACGCTAATTTTTTAAGTGAACTAAGAATTTTATTTCTTTTTGTAAAGCACCATTTTGTTCATTACAGTGTGATACAAAACAAAATACCTATGCTCACCTCTGATTTTTCATCTTGTGCTTATAAAGCGGGTCAGCTTTGTAAAAATAGGAGTGGGCTCCCCTGATAGGTTGATTGACTTGCCGTATATACTCGTGCATAAGCTGAGTTTTTCAGGACATTTTTTATGCAGTTTTTGTGGTAAAATTAGGCGCCTCGGCTGATATTCGGGTCAGCGTATACTTGAGTATATACGGTACTTGGTTTTGGTCAATCCCTTGGTATGTAGACACAGCTGAAGTGGCTATTCTGTTCTCCTCCTTTTTCTGTCAGATCTTGATAGGAGCCCTGGTGGTGTAGTGGTTAGGCCTGGGATGCTAACCGTGAGGTCAGCAATTTGAAACCACCATCCGGTCCTCAGGAGACAGGGCTATCTACTTTAGAGTTACCGTCTCAGACACTCACAGGGGCACGTCTGCCCTGTCCTGCAGGGTTCCGATGGGTCGCCATGGACCCCATGGCAGGGATCTTTGTTTGTTCAGCA